AGACCCTGTCTCAAAAAAAAAAAAAATCTCCACTTTGTTTGGTTTCAGTTCCATCTGTAAAATGGGTTAATAATCTCTATTTCAGTGCTGCTGTGAGATCAAGTGAGGTGTGTAAATAAAGGTGGTTCAGAGCAGGACGCAGGGGCATCATTACCGTTGCTCTGTGGGCAGGGTCCTGGGCAGGGCCCAGCGCCAGCAGGACTGTGTGGCCAGAGGGAAGCAGATTGTGGTGGGTGCATGGCAACTGACACACGGCTCAGCTCCGCCCCAACCACTGTCAGCCGCGTTGGGGAGGCGAGGAGTACACCTTGGTCGTCTCCATATGCTCAGAAGTAAGCACAGTGCCCGCCAAAGAGCAGGGCCACAGTAAATGTTTGCTGATTTTTGAGACGTGGAGATTGCACTTACATGTGACATCTGCTAAGATTTCCTAGGCCATCGAGGAATCACTACTTGGGAGAAAGACGACACTGTGTGACAGCATGGAAAGGACACCAGACTCGAAGTGAAAAGATGTGCATGGAGTTCCAGCTCCGTCACTGTGTCTGTACGACACTATGCAAGCCCCTTAATTTCTATAAACCTCAGTATTTCATGTGTGAATTGGGGCTAATACTTGGTCTACTCTACAAGCATGCGGCCCAGTTTAGAAAGTCCTGGTGGCACTGGAAGCCCTGGAGCAAGTAAGCCCTGGAGCCCTGAGGCAGCCCAAGCTGACCCGGCAGAGGTGTTGCTCGGGGCAGCCAAAGGCAAGGCCGGGAACAGTGTTGCCCAGTGTCCAGTTCGAAGGGCAAGGCAAGGCGAGACACAGACGTAAGCGGGAAGAGCCGTGATGGACAGAAGGCGCGAGAGGACTGCTCTAGAACTACGCCTGTGAGGACAAGCAGAAAGGCTCCCCCTTGTGAGGTTCTCACCAACGCACTTAATAGGTAACATTTATTGAGCACTTACTATCTGCCAGGTGCTATGCTAAGTACTTTCATGGATGTTTCCCTTAATCCCCACCGTACCCTTGGTTGGCTACTATTTTTATCCCCATTTCACAGATTAGGAAATTGAGGTATGGAAGTCACACAGGATTTTAACTCACAGCTCAAATTCTTAACTAGCCATGTTACTGCTGGTACACAAGGCAGGGGGGTAGTTATGATAATCTACAGAAAGAATATATTTAAAGGCATCATGTACATTGTAAAGTTCTACGTCGATGTGAGATGTTAAATCCAAAGGATTTATATAACTTCTGGCCTCTAGTAACTCTCCCAAAGCAGCGTGTTGCACAATTGTCCTTAAGCAGAGCCCTCTCTCGCTGAGCCTGCCCTGGAGATGGGACCCTCTCTCAGGAGGTCTTTAGGGCCAGGGAGGACAGTGGCTGCACGAGCTCTGGTGGCCGGTTTGCTCTCCACAGCTCCCTGGACTCCCTGCTTCCCTTCTGCTCCCGAGGAATCGGTATCTGCTGCGAGCTGCCCAGGTCAAATTCGGCCTGGGCTCAGGGATCTCCGGGGCTGTGGGGCAGATGGCAGAGCCCACATGTCCAGGATCCAAGTGCTCCTGCCCCTCTAGATCACAGCACTGCAGAGCCAGAGTCTCCCTGGAATTCTCCCACTTCCACGCGAGTCGCCAGGCTCGAGATAGCCTCTGAGTGCGGAAGGCCCCACTCTGGCGGGTGGCAGGAATGTGCAGTGGGCTTCTCAGCACAGGCATGGTGACCATCTACAGTGATCTGCAGCCCATGAGTGGGACATCTTCGGCTGACCTCACCAAGACCGACAGAGAAGACAGAGGAACAATGTGTGGGTGGGTGAGATTCTCCGGAGCCAAGCAATGCAGAAGGGAAACGCATGACTAGGTCCAGGGAGGGAGGCCCGGAGGAAGGGCGGAGTGGGGGAGGGTGCGGAGCAACAGGAGAGAACAGATCCCAAGCCGGGAGAGCAGAAGGGGACGGGGTGGAGGGTTGTGATGAAAGCAAAGGGCCAGTGGTGACCAGAGAGGTTTCAGAGATGACACAGAGGTGGGTGGTGTCTCAGTGATGTCCATAGTGGGGTTTGAAGATGGTATAAAGGTGCACTTTTGTGTAAAGATGTACCAGAACCCACCAAGAAACACTTTGAAAGGTTCTCCACAAAGGATTTTGAGATACTGGAATGGGTGGAGGGAGGGATGAAAGCTGCAAGACCCAGAGTGTCATGGGGAAGGAATGACACCACCGGGGAGGCAAGGGGTGGCATGTTCGGATGGTTTGGGAGTAACCTGTTACGAGGACACAGTAGTGGTTAGGAAGAAACAATGCAAGCAAGGAGACAGCAGCTCTTTCTGGATGCTCAGAGAGAAATGGGAAGGAGGCAGCCTCTACAGCAGACCCGGTGGAGAGCCCGGGCTCAGTGAGGGTGGAAGGCGGTGTCCGACTTATTCCACGGCAGCAGGACATGGCAGAGCCCATCTGGACACACCTGCTGGGGAGCGGGAGGGGCAGTCTCAGGGGTAGGAGTGCCTGGATCCAAGCGCAGGCCACAGGAGGAAGTCCCCCTGATGGAGGGCAAGTCAGACAGGAAAAATGGAAAAAAGCAGCAGGTCTGGTTCAAAAGTCAACGAGGGACACCAGGCAGATGAGCAAAAGAAGGGCTAAGGGGACCCTCGGGAGGGTGGCGGAGAGAGGGGATTACCCAGGAGGGCAGGTGCAGGCTTGGGGAGAAGAATGGGGAGAGCAGAGCAGGGGCCCTAGGCAGCCTGGCAAGAGGGGTATCTAGTCCTAGAGCTGAAGCTGGGGGAGGCCTGACCGTGGAAGCCAGCCGAGCCTGGCTGTCAGAGCCGTGCCCTCCAGGTCAGCGGGACAGTACGGATGGATCGGTTGACTGAGTTCACTTGGGCCTGACAGCCAACCCAGGGTCCCCATTTGGGATTTCCTGGGCTCCGTCATGAGGACTGACAGGAAGCACACAGGATGCCTCTTCCAACCCGGGCCCACATTACTGGGCTCAGCCAACTAATAAACACGCTGGTGTTGAAATAGATCAGAGATCTCTGCCCTTGAGCCCACAGAGCTGAGCGGGAGAAGGCCAGTATTCACGGAGACACACGGACAGGCCGCTGCCTTTCTGCTGCTCTCCAAGCCCAGAGCACCGGGAGCTCTCTCAGGAGGCCGGGCCTCCCAAAGGGCACTTTGGGGTGATAACAAGCCCATGATGACACGGACACCCCTGATTTACAGGTTTGCAGGGAATTCTTATCACTGTCTCAAGTTGCTAAAATAAAGAGTGCTCCTCTCAGAAACACAGAGGAGCTGCAGAAACCTACACCGTGCCACGGAGAACACAGGCAACTCTCCGACTACAACCTCTCCCTTGCTGCTGGCTCTGGGGCGTCGCAGAGGCCGCTACTCCTGCCTCTCAGACCCTCTGCAGTTCATGCCACTCCCTCCCACACGCTCAGCCCACGGCGGGGGCGGTGGGAGAGAAGCCTTCTCTCCTCATGGGCTCTCCTCCAACTCCCAACACTCCCCTGCCCCGGGCACCAACAGGCCCAGAGAGAAGGGACCGCAGAGCTGAGAAGATAAAGGACACAAGAGGCAGGGGAGGGAGTTGTTCCTGTGGTCCCTCATTCACATCTCTGTCCTCTTCTCCAGTCCTGGGGCCCACCCCAGCCCCCTCCCAGCAGCACTCTGACCAAGGCTCCTAAGGGCCGGCGAGAGGGACACCTCCCCACTCTAGGAGGAGGGAGACAAGTTCTTGCTGTCTGAGTTGGAACTCCAATGGCATCAGCACCTCCAAGATGGGATGTGTATTTCTCTCAGATGGCATTCCGTTTCAGGGTCACAAAAGGTCAACATAGATTGCTGTGGACTATGCTGGGATGTGATAGATCCCCTGTACAAAAGCGATCCTCCCAAAATGCATGCCTTTCTTCTTTCACGAATTCAGAAGAATTTACTGAGCACCAATGACATGCCAGGCAGAGTCCCTGCCCTCAGGGAGCTAACCAGACTAGAGGCGAGTATGGTAACAGGTGAAAACCCTACAGAATCAGGCCGTGACATGGACGGCTCCAAGCATACGTATGCACTTCAGCAACTCCGGATAGCTTTTGCAACACGAAAACACTAAACTCATCATGTCTCTGCTTCTGAAAATAGCACATGAATAGGTCGTGAGGAAACTGACGGGAATTAAGAGAACGGCTTACACACGACCAGCCCTTGTTTATGAAGAACAAAAACTCTAGAGGCCTGGCTGTAAGGCTATAAACAGGAACTCTTGTTTTCTAGGGATTCAACTTCCATTTTCAAATAAAGGTTTTTATTTCCTGTGGTTTATTTTTGTGTCTTTGGAGAATGCTCCGGCTGCACAGGTTCACTATGTGCCAGGGCTGTAAGGCAGACACCTGGACTCGGAGGCAGGTGGAAGCCTCGCCCACCTGCGTCAGAGGGGAGCTCCATCGGTGGGAGGAGCAGGAGTGACTGGAAAGCTCCTGAAACAAGGCAGAGAGTCTGCACTTGACCCTCCAGTGGACAGGCTGCAGGAGGAGGTGCTCAGGAAAGGGACTGCTCCAGGGGACAGTGTCCGGGACATGTTGAGTGGGGACAAGGAGAGGCTGGCAAACGCACTCAAATGAGCTCTCAAAATTGCTATCGTTATCTTTATGGGAACAAGTGGGGCCATGACCATAGCATCATGGAATATAGGCTTGTTTGATTAAATTATCTCCTTCTGTTCCTCATTTTATTCCTCTATAAAATGGGAATAATAACGGTATCCATCACACACAGATGATGAAAGGATTAAATAAGTTAATACATGGAAAGCACTTAGAGCAATGCTCTGGTATATGCTCAATAAATGTTAGCTTTTATTATCATTTATTTCTGGGGGGAAGGGAGTGGTAGCAAATAATCCACTACGCTCATATCAAATATAAATGTATTCTGAGTGGTTTCTGTAAATCACATTCCACTTTGCCTGTGGAAAAAAAAGGAGATGTAAATTATTTCAAATAGACACGTACACACTTTAAAATATTGAGTTTATTAAAAAAAAATCAGTACAGTAAAAATGCCACACAAATTACTTGATACTAGCAACGACAAGTGCTCCTATCAATTCAAGTGTACATATTTAACTCCCCAGGTTAAAGACCTGTAATTTCCCTTGAAGCTCTTTAAGTTCTGAAGTTATATAAAATTAAGCAGGAAAACATTAACATTAAATGAAAATCAATTTTGCACAAATAAGTGTGAGCAAGCAGCTTAAATTATCACCTGAAATATCTGTACTGTAGAGAAAAATCCCAGATGACAACACCCTGTATGTTCTAAAAAGATTCACATTATTCCCTGGGAGGGTGTCTCGGGGTATTCTTTTTCCACATTTCTTTGACCAAGCCTCAGGCAAAAAATTGAGGATAACTTTTTCCAAGCAGTGGCCTTATTCTTATGCATATTCCTTTTCTTTTTCTGAATTCAGAGTTTCTGAAAACACAGAGGCTTTTCTCTTGGTAAAACAAGACTTGTAAGGCATTTGAGGACCAAGCTACTGTGTTTCTAAAGTTTCTTCCTTTCTCTGGGGAGACACAGAGGTCTATACATCATCCTTCTGCTCTCTCCTCCCACGTGGGGGTCCTGCGTGGTGTGGAAATGTAGAAGTTTCTGATCTCTTCAGAGAAAGAATGAGCTCTGTACCTCTAACCAGGCACGGGAGAAGGCCTGGTCCTCTCCTGATGTCCCCAACTTCCTCTGAATTCACAGAAAGTTTTTTATACCGGAATGCGTCAACACACAGCAATAAAAGACATTTAAGAACTAAAAATGTGAAAAATCACCTAGGAATGGAACATTAAAGAAATGTGTTTATTATTGTGCATTGACAACCAGGGGGCTCTTCTTTTTAATAATTTGCAATAGATCAGAGGTTTGGCAGCATAAGCAAACTGTGCTCCACCTAAGTCTACAACCTAACAGGGACAGGGGTCCTGGTAGGAAATCGCCAAAGATGCAAAACATGAGCCTGGTGATGGGACCAGCTAGTGACTACACTTGTGTTGGCATCAATGCCAGCCGTGGGTTCAACAGTAATCTGAACCCCCGTGTGAAATACCCTTATCTATTACCTTTCAGAACATTGTGATCACCAACTAAGCCAGAGGAAGGAACATAGTATTTTCAATAGAAAAATTATACATTCTGAAAATATTATATTGTGTTAATCAATTCACATTTCTTGGGCACTGATAAATGTAACAACATTCCATCATAAACTTCCAGAACCACTGCAATGACAGAGAGAAAATGCAAAGTGAGGACGACCTCACCGGCATTTCCTTCCTTTCAGTGGGCAGCACCTTCTGGCCAGACGGACAGCTGAGGATAAAAATTTCCTGTGGGCTAAACCAAGGACGGCGCCGTCCCTTCTCCAGTGTGATACGAGGGGCCCCGCCTTGGAGAGCCTTCATGTAGCAGCCTCTAAGAATTCTGAGGTGAACACAGCTTCTGCATAATCTTCACACATATCCTGAAGTTCAGCAGCAACGGCCCCCAGCGCTTCGTCTACCAGCTCTTCCGAAAAGCTGGAAGACAGACAACACAGCTAAAGGTATGTACGGCCAAATATGGAAGCCACTTTTCCACTCAGCTGGGGAACTTAACGAGACAATGCTAAAATGTAAATGTAAATTGAAAAGGCCAAGAATAGCCAAGATACCTCTAAAGAAGAAAAATAAGGCAAGAGGCCTTGCTCTCCTAGACATAAAGATGGTGGTGCTTAGATCTCGAAGTCCTGCTAGAAGGAGGCGCCTGTAACATACACAGAATGGTGGACCTCATCCTCCATGAGTTTGAAACCAGAGGTGACCGGAAAGTGACTAGCTGTGACCCAGCACCACCTCTGACAGCTGCCTAACTGGTCGACAGAGAAGGGTGTGTGCCTCCCCTATGGGAGAGTGGGTAGGACACTCCACATTTGTGTTCCTCCTCTCTCTAAACACACATCTTTTCCCGAACTGTTTCAGAGTATGTTGCAGACTTGATATCCCTTTTAAATAACCATGGCACAATTATAAAAATCATAAAATTAACAGCAATATAAAACTATAATCTTATCTACAGACCTTATTCGAATTTTTCCAACTGTCCAAGTAATGACCTTTAAAAGAAAACTTTCTCTAGTCCAGGATTCAACCCAGGATTACATGTTGCATCTAGTTGTTCTATCTTTTTAGTTTACTTTAATCTGAAATAGCTCTTCAGTCTTTGTCTCTCATGACCTTAACATTTTTTTAAGGGCAAAGGCTGTTTTGTAGAATGTCCCTTAATTTGGGTTTATCTGATGTTTCCTTACAATCAGATTCAGGCTATACATTTTTGGAGCAGATGCCACAGAAGGAATATTGCGTCCCTTCAGTGCATCATGATATCTATTTGTCCCATTGCTAATAATTGCTAATTTTGATCACTTGGTTATGGTGATGTCTGCCAGGTTTTTCCCTTGTAAAGTTGCTATTTTCCCTTTGTAATTAATAGGTATATTAGTGTGAGATACTTTGAGACTATGTAGATATCCTGTTTCTCATCACACTTGCCTGAATCAATTATTACAGGGCTGCCAAACACTGATTTTCTAATTCCATCATTCCTTCTCCATTTGACAGTTGGCATTCTACTATAATGAAGAGCTTCCCCTTCTTCCTTATTTATGTATTCATTCATTCATATCAGTTTGACCTTAGAGATTCTCATTTTATTCAACGGTTTATAATCCGTTACTATTGTTACTCATTTTGATGCTTGAAAACATCCCAGACTTGGCCAATAGGAGCCCCTTCGAGCTGACGCCTGCATCCTCTGGACATGTTCCTATCATTCTTTGAGCACTTCCTTTCTGGCACAACACGATGCTTCAGGCTCATCTTACATCTTCCCAGTCCCAGATCCAGTCTTAGAATTGGCCATTTCTCCAATGAGCTCTGATACCTTTTCATGGAGAATAGTATTTAGAAACCAAGACCTGGGTACCAGGTGTGCTCACTGCTACTGGTGCCTCTGCTTCTAGATCCTCTCGGCAGATCAACCAAGAAACACACATGTACATGCACACCCCCCCCATATCTGTTTCTCTATCAAAACCCAAACATTCGTAAAAGATACTTCAATCCTAATTCAACAGAGGATTCATCCTAGCCTTCCCCCAGAAACCCTGCTCCCATTATTTACAATGTACTTATTTGATCAATGCTAAAATACAGAGAAAGCAATTTCAGAATTGTAACCCACACCACTGTATAAAAAAACCTACTAGCTAGAACTCAGTCATGTCTCTCGGTATTCTTTTTTGTCTTTAGTCCGAGGGTATGGAGTCAAAATACTGCGTTCAAAAGTTACTCAGGCTGGTTCTTATCTGTCTCTATGCCCTTTAGTATGATTATATTATTTATTTAAAATACAGTTAGGCTCATGTATCTGTTTGTATTCCAATTTAGGGTTCCCTGCACCCTTGCTGATTAGGAGGGGATGAATAGGAAATATTAACATGGTTCCGAAAGTCAGAATTACACGAAAAAGGTACATGCAGGTAAGTGTCACTCCCCCTCTCCACCCCTGCTAGCCCATTCCCACTCCAGTCGTATTTGTTGTTGTTTTTGCTAATCTGGCCCTTTTTTGCCTTAATTGGCATGTGAGATCCTTTTTCATGTAACATTATTCTGATATATACTAGGTATTTTCTATTTGTCTCTTTGTTCTCTCTTCTTCTATATTTTGTAATATTTTATTACATTCTCTCCTCTCTATTAACTTGGATATTATACACGCTTTTATTCTTTTAGTGGTCACCCTAGATTATAACAAGCATCCATGACTTAACATCTAACATCAACTGATATTCTTACCTTTTTCTCAGACAACGAAAGAACACTAACTCCATTCATCCCCTTCCTTAGATCTTATATGCTATTGGTATTGTGTATTTTAAATGTGTGTATACGCACGCACATATATGCCCATAAGACATTATTGTTACATATTGTTTATCACATTGTTTCACACAGCCAGTATTCATTTACCCACATATTTACCTTTTTTTTTAAATTCATGCCTTCCTATATTCCTGACCTTCCACCTGTCACTGTTTTCTTTTTGCCTGAAGAATACCCTTTTAACATTTCCTATTTCTGGAAATTCTGTCCTCCAGTGAAGGTCTACTGGTAATAAATTTTCTCAGCTTTGTTTATTTGGAATCTCTCTTCTCACCTTCCTTCTTGATATGCATTTCGCTGGGCTTAGAACTCCCAATTGGTAGTTCTTTTCTTCTTCTTTTCTTTTAAAGATATGCCAGGTCTTCCAGCATCTCCTGTTTTTGTTTCTTTTTTTTCTTCTTTTTCTTTCTCCAGCTGATTTTAAGGTTTTCTCTTTGTCTTTTATTTTCAACATTACTACAATATAGCTAAGTATGGGTTTCTCCTTATCGGCTTGGGTTTTTTAGAGCTTCTTGAATCTATGGTTTGATGTCTTTTGTTACTTTGGGGAACTGATAGTCCTTATCTCTTTGGATGTTGTTTCTGACTCATCTCTCCTCTCCTTCTGACACTCCAACCATACATATATTAGACCTTCTCATTTTATCCTCTATGTCCCTCACCCTCTCTTCTTTTTTTCATCTTTTTTTTGTGTCTCCACGCATCACTCTGGACATTTTCTTCTGTCCTATCTTCCAAGTCTCCAATTTTTTCTTCTCTTGTGTTTAATTCACTATTGAGTCCATCCAATGAATTCCTCATGCCAGAAATAGTATTTTTCATTCCAGAATATACATTTGGATTTTGTTTACTTCCCAGTTCTCTGCAAAACTCAAATTTTCTTTTTTTTTTTTTTTTGAGACAGAGTCTCACTGTGTTGCCCAGGCTAGAGTGCCGTGGCGTCATCCTAGCTCACAGCAATCTCAAACTCCTGGGCTCAAGCGATCCTTCTGCCTCAGCCTCCCGAGTAGCTGGGACTACAGGCATGCGCCACCATGCCCAGCTAATTTTTTCTATACATTTTTAGTTAATTAATTTCTTTCTATTTTAGTAGAGACGGAGTCTCGTTCTTGCTCAGGCTGGTTTCGAACTCCTGAGCTCAAACAATCCGCCCGCCTTGGCCTCCCAGAGTGCTAGGATTACAGGCGTGAGCCAGCGCGCCCAGCCTCATCTTTTATTTCTACGAACACACTAGGCACAGTTATTTTAATGTCTGTGTCTGACAGATCTAATATTTAGAGATGCTGTCTCTTCTTGTTCTTGTCTCTCTATAGCCTGGTTATTTTTCACCATATGCCAGACATTGTATTTGAAAATTATAGAAACAAGATGATGTTATTTTCCTCCAGAGAAAATTTATGTCTGCTTATGCATGGTGGCTAGGGGGCACTAACAATCTAGAATCACCTCAATCCAATTGTAGGAACTGAGATAATTTGGAGCTGAGTTGAGTCCCTGAGAAGGCCTATTTATATCCGGATCATCTGTACTTCCAGAATGCAGTCTTTCAGGGTCCCAATCAAAAAGCACAAGGACAATCCCCCCCACTTTGGCAATCCCTGGATTGCAGCCTCTGTCCCCTGATCTGAAAAGGCCGTCAGAAGTGCTACTCGTCCCCCCTCCACACTGACTCTCCAGTGCCAAACAACGGGCTAATCTTCCTGGGTCTCTGTCTTCTCCAGGATCCTGGCCCAGTTCTTCTTCATTACCCAGTTAACGTTTTGATGCCTTCAAGCATACATGTTTTATTTTTAATACAGCCTTTCTATTAATAGTTATCCTCAGTGGGAGAGGTGGTCCAAGTTACCAAGTACGTCATTACTATAAACAGATTACCTCGTTTTTATATTTGCTTCACATTCTATTAATATATTCCTATCAATAATTTAACCCCAAACTGTGAGAGAAATACAAAGGTGTTCCCAATACATTCTAACACTTTAGGTATAATGTATCTGTTTTTTCTTTTTTTTTTAACCTTCTCCATTCTGCCTTTCCTCTTGGGAATCATGCTCTCTGGAGTTCTCTGTCCCTACTCTAATCTAGACTAGCTGCTTTCAATGCTCACTGAAAGATTCTTTTCCTGGAAATTGCTTTTGCCATTTTTTTAGGAAGTCCAAAAAGGTAGAGTCTAAGTTTCCTAAATCTCAAGTCTTCTTCTTTCTGAAGGTATACCTTGCACTGGTGGCATACATCGCATGGTAGCTTACAGTGCGTGGGAACTAAATTTTTGGACACTTTGTATGCTTTAAAATGTGTTTATTCTGTCTTTGATAATTTAGCTGAGCATGAAATTCTAGGTTAAATATTAGAAGTACGCACTATCTTCCAGCTTCCAGTGTTGCTACAGAAAACAATATGCCATTCTCCTTTCTGATTATTTGAATGTGTCCGGTTTTCCCTCTCTAGAATTGTTTGTCATCTCTTTACACTGGGATGCTCAAATTTCCTTTTGATAATCATATGCCATGGTGTGTTCTCTTCTAGTCATTCATATACTCACTCACAGTGGAAAACTGGTGAAACCTTTCAATCTACAGACTAGAAATCTGGGAAATTTTATAGTACTTCTTTGATAATTTCCCATTCCTCCTTTTGTTCTTTTCCCACATTCTGGAACTTCTATTATTCAGATGTTGGATCTAGAAGAACCCTCTAATTTTTAAAAATCTTTTTTTTTTCTCTATTATCTAACTCTTTGTCTTTTATTCTACTGCCTGAGAGATGTGACTTTTTTCCTTGAATCCTTCTAGTGAACTTATTTCAGCTATCATGTTTTTAATTTCTAAGAACTTTTTTTTTTTTTTTGAGACAGGGTCTTACTCTGTTGCCTTGGCTAGAGTGCATAGAATGCAGTGATGTCATCATAGCTCACTGCACCCTCAAACTTCTGAGCTAAAGCGATCCTCCTGCCGCAGCCTCCCAAGTAGCTGGAACTACAAGTGTGTGCCACTATGCCTGCTTATTTTCCTATTTTTTGGTAGAGATAGGCTCTCCCTCTTGCTCAGGCTGGCCTTGAACTCCTGGCCTCAAGCAATCCTCTCACCTTAGCCTCCCAAAGTGCCAGGATTACAGGCATGAGCCACCGCACCCGGCCAAAATTTCCTTTTTTATAGTATCCTGTTCTTTTTTTCATGATACAGCAGCTTTACTTTGTTCTCGGAGAATATTAATTCTAGTAGTTTGTTTGTTTTTAATGTTCTACTCTGCTCTCTGCATTGTCTCTGCTTCCTCAGAGTTCTTCTTATCTGTTACGGCCTACGTATCTTTCATAGTTTTCATCAAACGTCTGGTTATCTCAGCTGCCTGCTCACTCTCAACAATGAGAATTTCAACCAAGCCTATTTTCTGGCCCACCTGCATCCATGCCTTCACAAGCATCTGATGCTGCCAATTCCCGAGTCTTACTAAGGTTCTTCTGCGCAGTTAAACTTACTTCTTGACTTCACCCTCGTTAGGCACCTGGCATTTCTCTGGCCTGCTAAGTCGTTTGCCATTTGTCTATCTGCTTTATGGCTTACAAATTTTTACTCATATTTCTTGTTTGCTGTCATTTATGGTATCCTGCCTTTTACTTATCCTTTTAGTGACATATAATAGGAAAGCAATACAGTGAGTAGAGATAAATACATATGCTCAATCTGTCCTTTTTAACTAGAAATCTCCTGATTTTTTTCAAACCAGAAATCTTTAAGAGTTTGCTTTCATCAAAAGCATTATCGCCACGCCTGTAATCCTAGCACTCTGGGAGGCCGAGGCGGGGGGATTGTTTGAGCTCAGGAATTCGAGACCAGCCTGAGCAAGAGCGAGACCCCGTCTCTACTAAAAATAGAAAGAAATTAATCGGACAACTAAAAATATATAGAAAAAAAATTAGCCGGGCATGGTGGTGCATGCCTGTAATCCCAGCTACTCGGGAGGCTGAGGCAGTAGGATCGCTTGAGCCCAGGAGTTTGAGGTTGCTGTGAGCTAGGCTAACGCCACGGCACTCACTCTAGCCAGGGCAACAGAGTGAGACTCTGTCTCAAAAAAAAAAAAAAAGCATTATCGCCTTAAGCTTTCCTTTCATAATCACTCTTTTATTTGCATCCAGTTTATATCATCTGCTCACTCTGATCACTGGAATAGCACTTTCCTTCAGGTGTGAGGAGGAACAGAGATAGTAAAACAAAGAAAACACTCAGCTTCTGCCTCACCTAAGAGGCTATCAAATGAAGTCAACTGTCTTTGGATACTATTTCAAGATCTGATCAATACCACTCTCATCTCTGGACCTTCAAATAAGAAATAAAAATAGGCGAGATTAAAAAAAAATAGAGCTAGAATATTCAGATGCATGGTTACTTGGGGTCGAAAGATAGCAGAGGAAAACACCTATAAAAATCCAGGCATATTTTAATAGCTCTGTCCTCTACATTTTAGCCTATTATGCCTTATAGGCTGAGAGAGCTTTTCCCTACATCTATATAACACCTATGAACAAAACATATCATTTTATCAGGTGGTAAGAATGTACGAAGAAGAGTCTATCCTCCTTGACTTGCTGTTGCATTTACCGTGTGCCAGTTAGCCTAACTGCTCCAGACTATGGGAAAATGAGTAAGTATGCTACAAAACTCCGGGTTAACACATAGAAGGAAGTCAAGTTGACTTCTCTTCCCCAGAAAATCCTTCAGAGCGCAGGTGAAAACAAACGTGTATCTCAACCAAAACAAAAGGTCTCAGCTACTCTGAAGGGTACCACATATTAAAGAGAAGTTTCAGGACTTCAGGCTAAACCTAAGGACTCAAACTTAAGTGATTATCCCTGATCCCACTCCAAATCCCACTTAAATAAAATATATAAACAAATTCACAAATGTATAAGGAGAAAAAAAAAAGACAAAAGTAGACGAGAAATGTCCAAAATTTTCCGAAGATAAAAAGTACATGGAAGATTCATAATCGATTTAGCAGTATAGAGGAAATAGAGAGGAAGGTGAAACCTAACAGTCTATAGGGAGACTCCTGCCTAGGAAAAGCAAGCTGATTTGTCCTACAAAACATCAGAAAGGCTCAGGAAGTAAGAGTACAGAGAATCATGAAGGTGGCATGAGATATGGGATAGAAAATGAAGAAACTGGTTGAAAATCTGCAGAATAGACTGAGTGATCTCCACTCCTACTCCTGGAAGCTAAGTGACAATCCCTTCTCCACCCCCACAGAAGAAAGAAGGTATATATTCTTTGGAAAACATAAACCACTAATTTTAAACTCAGCCAAGTTATCAAACATGTTTGAAGGTAAACACTTTGAAACTTGTAAGTCTTAAGAAATTTCCTCCAATACACAAACCAGGATATGCTCTATCAAAATAAGAGAGTGAACCAAGAGAGAGGGAGATGGGGCACTAGAAAATAAGAAATATAATATGGGGGGAGGTAACCTAATGCTCACGGCGATGATGAAGGGAAATCCCAGGATAAGAGACCTATACAGACCTGGAGAGTCGCCAGCCCAAATTGGGGTAGGATGGAAAAGGGTCTCAGGAGAAAGAGTAAGGGTGAGGGTTAAGAAACAGAGATTAACTGATATTTTGGATCATAAGGAAAATTATGTCGATAGGCTGTTGGCTAGTATGTGGGGAAAGTTAATAAATATATTACATAAAAGATGAGCAAATAAAAAAAGAGGCAATTATTAACTCCTAGAATATGTTTAAAACTTGTTTAAGAAAGAAATGTAGTATACTACTTAACTCAATGACAAAAATATCTTGCATGTTTATACGAAGATCAGACCTATAAGAAATTTAAATTTGGGCCCTATTTAAAAAGAATGGATTTACACTTATCTTTTAATTAAGCATTTTGTACATAAAAGGAGGCTACCCATTCTTCACATATTTAGTAGATGTGGGATCCTGTCTTATGACTACACAAAACTATCAACACCTTCCTCAGGAGAGGTAACCCAAAGAGGGAGAAGGGTCAAAGAAAATGTTGCACAGTCAGGCACCTGCTGCTTGTAAAGGCAAATTTGTCCCAACCGTGAGGATTTCATGGTCATGACTGTTGCCGGCCGAGCAGTATTTTGTGTTCTCTGATGGGACATCACCCTCGTTAATAGCAACAGGAAATCGGCCCTGACTTGACTACTGAATATTGTACCTCTGTTGTTAGGAGCTGAATGTTTGTGTCCCGCCAAAATTTCACATGTTGAAGCCCTTCCCCGCAATGTGACAGTATTTGGAGATAGGAGCTTTTAGGAGATAACTGGGTTTAGGTAAAGATCCTGAAGGTAGAGCCCTTATAAGAGGAGGAGGAGAGGCCAAAGCTTGCTCTCTCTGCCACATGAGGACACAGCAAGAAGCCAGCCATCTACAAGCCAGGAAAAGGGCCCTCACCAGACAATGAATTCACCCGCACCTTGATTTTAGACTTCCCAGCCACTAGAACTATGAGAAATAAATTGCTGTTGTTTAAGTCACCTAGTCTACGGTATTTTGTTATGGCAGCCAAAGCTGCGAAGACACCCTGCCTAGGAAGGGGAGGCTGCAGGGCACTTTTTCGGGTGTTTTATGGTCTCCCACATCTGAAAAAAGGCAGTTAGCAGAGAAAGCTTGTCCACTAGCCCAAGAAAAATCATCCGAACTCCAGGGCCCAAAGCACGGAATGAGACCTTGACTAGTCCTTTCTCCAGCTTTTCCTGAAGTCTAAAATTTGATACGTGGCTCCTGAACAGAGGACCATAACATTTCACTAACCTTTCAGCTATCAGCCATGGGTTGAAGGAGCCTATGGCCTCATGAGATATGATCCGGAGATACTGCTCAAAACGGCTACAGTAGTCACCAATGCTGTGCCGCATACCCGGTGGGACAAAGAGGAGAGCTTGGCCTTCTTTCCATTGAGAATCTTCTGCAAGGGAGAGAAGGGGAGCCTCTCTTTTCTCTGATCTCTCCTCTGTTCCCACACTTTCATCCAAGGAACTGAGAACAAATGAAAAATGATGAAAGCATTCAAGATCATCGGTAAGCAAGGGTAAGCTGTTAATTTACCCTCATGGTTTGATAACCAAAGGCTCACCTGCATTTCTCTTTCTTGCACTGAACAAAATGCAACATCCTATCACCATTCGCTGTTTCCCTTTTACACTAGACTAACCCTTGACGCGATAGGAATACTTGTACCTTAGACAAAAGAGTTCTTAAAGCAAACCCTGCAGTGAATAGTGGTGTAACCCACATGTACCAATGTGGTGCTTTCGACAATACAAAACAGCTAAACGTTATTGAATACTGAAAGGTTCCTTAAGATGCAACACAATCAATCTTACAAACATTCTATTTTACTGATCTATCTTAGAGTTTGTCAAGATCTTGCTCAAAAGAAGAATTTCTCTCTGTCTTATGGAAATTGAAGGAATTCAAAATTTAACAGCATCAAAGGCAACCAACGAGAATGAAGTCAGTGCCGCTGCAGCTTACTTGCCGTTACAGGGCCTTTCTAACATGATGTTCACGGCTGGATCCTTTCGAACTACTGTCTTTGTGATCTTGATTGGATGAGGAGGCAAAGGCCTTTCACTTACTGCTGGGATCTGTTGGTCTAGAAAAGAAGAGGCATAAAATGACTGTGTATAAAGAAAAGTCAGTGTCTGTATTAGGGCCATCACAGTGGCCAGCAACCTGTAAGGAAGTCACATGTAAATCTCTTAAGCACAATGGGCTTAGCTAGCAGTGCAATGGGGAAAATGCCCCTGTTTTAAATGCAAAGGTAAATTTAAAAGTTAACAAAGAAATAAACCAATGAGGAATCAGTTTTAAGAAATAACAAACTCTTTCCAAAGCCTCTGCTTGCTCTGAGAAGGCTTCTTGAAGAGGTCTATGCAAAGTCCCCAGCTATGCGGGTTCCATTAGGACCCAGCCACCCACTCAGAGAATCTTAAGCAGTTGGGCTTGTTTTTTAACCTTTAAATGCTTTGATTACTGAAGAAGAAGAAAAAACACTCACACCTGAACACTTAATTAGCTGATTTAATTTGTCTCTGGGCATTGCTGGAAAAATCTGCATGATGATAGTCGAAACATTAATTTATTAATTATAACTTGCAGGCTTGACAGCTCTTCTGAGTTTTACGGTATTTATACTTTTAAATGTATTTCAAGTATAGGAAGAAAATTTGTCCTTAAGTAGGGAGCATCTATATGTTAAGCAATTTTCTCTAACTCACATTTATATGCTTATGATTTCTTACTGGCAGACAGAAATATCACATAAGTCAGTTTTTGTAACACCGCACAACCCAAAGATCACTTTAAATTTGGTTTTGTGATGCAATGAAACAAACAAGGAGTACAAGTGGAAACAGGATTCTTACTATGATTTTATGATTTTGGACGTGTCCCAAAACTCATTTCAGTTCTTAGTGTTCTAAAGAGCTCCTTTGAAACGCATACCTAGACTATCTGCAGAATCACAGATAGTGACTAATAATTTAAATCATCCTTGATAAAAGAGAACACTAAGTCCTCCGTAAGACCGTCTTCCACGTGATGCAACCAACTTTGTGGCCAAAGGCAAACCCATCCATGAAACAAACTGCCTTTCGACATTTGCCTTTCATCTGCTTCCACACAAAAAGATGCTAAAACACCCACTGACTGGCTAAACAATGATGGGAAGGGCCCTCGCTGCGCCAGCCCTGTGCTAGATGCAGTGGGGAGCACACTGACTATGACGAACTCTCTGGCCTCAATCTGTGGCTTACTCGGGAGAAAGAAGACGCCTTCACAAACCATTCTAATACATGGCAGAACAGGCCGGAAAGTGCTATGGGCGTTCACGGGCAAAGAAGGGAGGAAGGGAACGAAGTTTCAGTACATGGATACAGGGAAAGCACTGCACAGTGGAGCAGGACCCTATAAGGTCGGCCTTAGAGAATGATTCTGTTGTTGTGTGAGGATAAAAATGGAGGCCAGAGAAGGGTTGGAAGGAAGAGAGAACAACGTGAGCAAAAACCAGAGTGCTTGAAAACACAGAACACATAAGAGGGAAAAAATCAGTGTTTTGTTTAGATTGCTCATCTTTCTGTCAAAATTTGTCAAGGAGAATACTTGTTCTAGCACAAAACTCCAAACTCCTATTTTAAAGTAATTACATGTGACATATGCTGCTGTTGTAAACCTTCTACAGCCCCAATTTCCTTTACATCTTAGTAAGTGCAGTGCTTACTTACAGTGCTTACATTCCTTTAGAGGTAACGTTTAACCACATTTTATTCTCCCCCTTTCATTGAGTAAGGCAGTAAATGATAAGCATGGGTTAAAGAGAATTTGAATAACACTTCCTAGGCAAAATTGTGATAGCAGCCTAACAATTGTAGCCAAAATACACAGGTATACATTTTGAAAGGTGGAGGAGAAAAGCAAAATCTTTTCCATATGTGGTGCTAGAACAAATGGATATCCATTAGGAAAAAACAAAATGAACCTCAATCTCTATCGCAAAGATAGGCAAACTTTTACTCAAGATGAATCATAGACCTAAATATAAAAACTAAAAGCATCAAGTTTCCAGAGAAAAGATCCCAAGAGAATCTTTTCTTGACTTGAGGGTAAGTAAAGATTTCTTAGGTCATAGAAAACAAAAACCATACTAGAAAAAAACTGATGTGACTTTATCAAAATTAAAAATGTTCATAATAAAACACCTTTGAGAAAATATATAGGTGGGTCACAGATGGGGAAAAATATTTGTGAAACATCCATCAGTAGATTAATGACTCTCAGAGGTAAGGGAAGGGAGAAGCGGGAATGGCTGCTAGTAGATACAGGGTTTCTTTTTAGGGATGAAAATGTTCTGGAATTAGACAGTAGTGATGGTTGCACAACTATGTGAATATACTAAAAAATACTGACTTGTACACTTTAAAAGGGTGAATTATATCCCTTTAAAGTTACTTTAAAAAACAAAAACATATCTGACAAAGAACTTACACCCAAAATACATAAAGATTTCCTACAACTCAAAAATAAAAGGACAACCCAATTAAAAAAAAATGGACAAAAGATTTTGGACACTTCACAAAAGAAGATATACAAATAGCTAATCATCAGTGGAAAAGGTTCTAAATTTCATTATTCATCAAGGAAATTAATTAAAACCTCAATGAGATACTGCTACACGCACACCAGAATGGTTACAATCAATATGACTGACAATGCTGCCGGTGTTGGCATGGCAAGGATGTCGAGCAACGGGAGCTCAGTGCAGACGAAGTGTTGATGAGAGTGTAAAACAAGAAAGCTACTTTGGTAAAGGTTTGGCAATTTTATATAAAGTTAAACACACACCTCTCACGACCTGGTAAGTCTACTCTTAGGTATTTGTCCAAGAGAAATAAAAACTTGTGTCCACACAAAAACTATATATGAATATATTCATTGCAGATTCATTCCTAATAGCCCAAAACTTAGAAGCAGGAAGAAACAAGGAACAGATTTCCCCCTGGAGACTCCAGAATGAACTAACCCTGCCAACACCTTGATTTCAGCCCTTTCAGACTCACTTCAGACCTCTGACCTCAAGAACTGTAAGGGAATAAATCTGTGCTTTAAGCCACTAAATTTGTGGTTTAAATCTGTTATAAACTTAAATTTGTTAACAGTAGCAACTGGAAATAAGCAACATAGATAAATCTATAAAACACTATGCTGAATGGAAGAAGTCTACACAAAACAGTATATACTGTGTGATTGCATTTATATAAAATTCTAGAACAATCCAAACTAACTACTTCAGCACAGGTGTTGCTTGGGTGGTGGGAAGTGACTGGGAAGGGGAATGAGGAATTTCCTGAGGTGATAGTTCTGTGTTCTGATGGAGGTTTGGGTAACAAACAGGAACCCATTTGTCAAAACCCACCAAATGACACAGGATCTGTGTATTTTACTTTATCTCAAAAGGAAAAAAAAGAACTATAAATAAATATTAAACTCTAGTTGATGATACGCATGTTGAATATTTAGGGGCGAGATATACTGACATCTGCAACTTACATTGGAAAGATAAGATGAATTTATGGATGGATAGGAGGATAAACAAATATATGATCAAGCAAATACAGCAAAATGTTAATTGTATAAGCCAAAAGGTGGGTAATATGAATGTTTACTGCACAATTTTTTCAACTTTTCTATAGGTTTGAAATTTTTCAGAATCAAATGGTGGGGAAAAATTGGGGGAAACACTTACCATTTTTTCCTTCCTGCATCCAAAATTGAGGATCAGCATATACAATTTTGTTATATCTTTGGCGAATTGTCTCCTGGTATTTCTTTTAAAAAAGAAAAAAGTTTAATTTATGAGAAAAAAATGAGTTTCATAACAAACCAGAACTAGTAAGGATGTGAAAGTTCAGTAGACACAATTGATACAGACACATTGCCAGAAATGGGCATCTGCCAGGCCAGGAAGTAATCAGTTCGTGATGCAAAGCTAAAAATAAAATGAAGCAATTTACATAACTGCAATCTAGACCAGCACTGTCCACTAGAACTTGCTGCAGTGATGGAAATGTTCCGTATGTGCCCTGTCCGAACTATTGACCACTTGTAGTGTGTTTAATTTGAGTTAGTTGACATGGGCACATGTGGCTAGTTGGCGACTGTTTTGGACATCTCAGGTCTACACAGCTATCCCCAAGAAGGGGAAATCGGTCTTAAGACTGGGATAAATTACCTATCTTTAAATTTTCAAAACCCAACAAAAAATTGTCTCCCCCTATAATGCTTCTATTTAGCAGCAAGGCAGAAATGAGATTTAATCATGGTGCAATTAAAAAGAAGATGCTGAATCAGGAGTCAGGAGACCTGGATTCTCATTGTAACCTTACCAGGAATATTTTTTGTAACCTTGACAATATCACTCACTTCCTTATTGTGCCTCAATTTCCTACACTGAACACTCTAGGGGTTAGGCTGTGTGAAGCAGTATCATAGAAATTAAAGAAGGTAAAATTATTTGTAATTTGACAGGATCACACTCCAACAGGATAGAAGAGGCAACTGAATAGCAAGCACTTATTAAGAGGATGGATGAAAAAGCCTCTGGTCCCATTTGTGGGACAAGGCCCTAGTATCAGTGTTTTTGGAATCACGTATCAATGCTATCAGGCGGATAATAATAATGATCACTTACTGGATTACAAGTCGAGTAGTTTGCTGAATACTCTATGTCTCATTTTATCTTTAAAACTCCCTACTTATTATAGAGGGTAAGTGACTATATTAGGTCACACACTTTGCTGACAGTAGAGCTGGGATTTAAAACCAGGACCGTGTGACTCTGATGCATGAGGAGGTGCACTCAGCAGAGACCAGCCCCCAGTGGCAAACCTGACCAGTAGCCCCAGACTTTACCTCCATTTCGTCCATTCGGAGCATCATGATCTCCAGGTTGGGACCGTCCTTGCTGTCCTCCAAGGTGGCTAAGTCTTCAGACCCCAAGATCTTAGTATGAGTCATAGTCCAGAACTCCTGAGCAGTATCTTCCAAAAATTCACCCAGCTGATGAACGTTGTTGGATTTAGAATCAACGGCTGTAGCCTACAAAACAAGGTGTGTGTGTGGGGGTGGAGGATGGGGGGTGGAGAGGGAGGTGTGGAAAGGTGATACAAAGCAAACAGAAAAATTTAAAGATTATTACTTGATCATAATAAACCAACAGCATACTGATCCAACTGGCAGAGTTTCTATGCTAAAACAAACCTCTCCTAAGTCAGTAAATATCAAAAGCAATAACATCAGTACAATTTTTATCACAGTCATTTAAATGGTAGCATTAACCAAGTAATATCGTCATTGTCCATGTAAATTATCATCACCATCTGTTTTGCGAGTTGGTAGAACAAATACCTATCTTTTGCCATATTCAAGAGAATGTCCAATATTTTACATATCACACACTCCAGAGGATGTATCTATTTTCTCTTGGTCTAGTGCTTTTGTAAAAATGTCTGTTCGTGACATCACAAAGTTCAGGATTCTTTGTCTTTGAGACTCTGAACCTACAACCTGCTTACCAGCCTTTCTTGAGCTTGTATCCTTTACATTCACAAAGCACTTTACAGTTTGCAAAGCATTTTTACATTGTATTTCTCTTGATTCTAATACATGTCTATAATCTGCTCTGAAAGAGGCTTTTGCAATGAGTGTCTGCTGGGGAAATGATCATATTAGACTATAGAATGAGACGTTTCTGGAATTAAATCCTGGTTCTACCCACTCAAGCCTGCAACTTTGGGCAAGTTTACTTAACCTCTCTGGGCCTCAGTCCTCTCACCTGTACTATGGAAGTGATAATCTTACATTTCAGAGTTGTAAGGATTACACGAGAGCTTACATGTTGGGACACTTGGCAGTGCCTGGTGTGAAATAAGACACTCAA